GGATCGCCCGGAACCGCGTCCATTGGAGAGGTGTTGTTACAGCCCTATGTTCCCTAATGAATCAAGAGGCATAATATATATATATATATATATATATATATATATATATATATATATCCGTATATTGTTTAATTTATTGTAATGTACTTGACATCTCTGATGATGGTTTATGCAAGCCGAAAGCTTAGATAGGATTAAAAAAACATGTATCAATATGGTGATTTTTTTTTCGTCTTTAAATTTTAATGTTATTAAGCTTATCAGACGATATGAAAGGAATTTGCTTAAAATAGACAAAACTTGTCTATATTATTTAATGAAACATGCATTAATGAAAAAATTCTGCCTAAATACATACAATATATATATATATATATCTATCTATCTATATCTATATATATATATATATATATATACATATATATACATATATATATATTATAGACATTATTCTTTGATTTATTTTAACTATTGTTCTCATCACGTTTATCATAGATGTTATTATATTCACAACGTTTCGGTTAGTTAGCCTCTGGTCATAGTCAGGTGTCCATTATTTTTCACTGATATCTGTTAATGATACATATAAACTAGATCATCTATTATAATGATGAAAATGAGTTCAACAGTTCGAATATAATGATGTATATTGACAATTCCACGTCCACAAAATTAAATATATCATTTTTTTTAATCATTTCACCCCAAGAGCAGGCGGTTACTGAGCGTGAAAACATCTAAGAAAACATTATTAAAGAGCGAGAATAATAAAAGAACGTAATTTAACAGGACAACGCTAAGAGTGTGTAGAATTAAAACACCCCAGCTTATTGACTTATCTGTCTTTTCTAAATGTCGGTATAGGGTAGATTGTAATATGTTCAACACCTTTATTTATCATATCTCCCCAAGGTACCATAGAGGAGAGTTCATCAGGCCATTTAGCATGAATTATTTATAGAAAAGTCATAAGTAATCTATATTACAGCAGTGAGAAAATGACTCAAGTCGAGATGCCAGATCAAGATCAATAACATTACAGATTCTTTGGATTTTATCAAGGCGCCCATGAGCATCGGACCATATGTGGCAGCAATATTCTAAGCAGGGACGAATGATGGATTTGTAGATATATAAGATTCTAGAGAGCAAGAAAAACTGCACGACATTGTGAACCAACCTTTATAGCAGAAGACCTAGCAATCGATTCGTTATAATCTTTCCACTTCATACCAGTGGGAAACGTTAGCCCTCGAAGGCACAACCAGTCACTCTCCTGATGGAAGGAAGAAAGAGTTTTCTTAGGTGATTAATAGACCCGATGTTTGGAGGCATTAAAATTAACTATCCATTTCATGCCCCAGTTAACAACAGTTATTTTTTTAGATCAGCTGCCATGATATTTGACCTTATCGAGTAGATTTTTACCTCAAAAAATGAGACGCATAATGAAACGTTACACTAACGATAACAGCGTAAAAATTATATAGATTGAGTACATTTATACTGTTTTCCTTATTTTTATTGCCATATTCACGACTTTTCGGCTTTCTTCAGGTGGTATACGCTGGAATTTCGATTCGAACCCTTTATTTAGTCCAAGGGGGTAGATTGTCCTAATTCTATGTGCCATGCCTTTTGTTTTGTTTTTGTTTTTTTTTTTTTTGGGGGGTACTCAACCAATGCTTTTATGCACTGGGCTATGTATCCTTGGAGATCAGTGAGTGAAATTTTGGGACTTAAAAACCTAATGTCTCAGTAATTATTTTTTTACCAGAGCTCATATTACAATTTCTGTAATTGTTGTTTTTCTCTAGCTCACTGTATTACTGGTTCCAACATTGTATTTATGACTATGCTTGGCTGCCTTAAGAGATTTTTTTTGGCCTAGCATATGCGCTGATTCCTTAAGTTTTCGTATTTTCCAGTGACGTCTATTATTTCATCTTCATCCCACAGAGGGCGGCGATTTCCCTTCTCCCTCCATATGTGGTCAGTCATACCTGATTTTTCTATTTCCCCTCGTGTTACAGCTTTACGATGTTCTTGCAGTTTTATTTTAAGGAGTGGCCTATTTCTCCTTTATATTTCTTGTCACAGTTGCATGAGATGGCGTACATACAGTCCTTAATCATGTTCTCCTCTATGAGTGGTCTTACTCGGGAGATATGTCTGCGTGGTGTCGAACAAATATTGAAGGATGTCCTGATGTCATATGGGCCACAGATCTTTTGTATCTAAGCCCTTTGCATAGAGTAGGCAGAACGAGACTGTTTTTTGAGTATTGTTATCATCTTGTACCCATCTATCCGAGTTTGTGGGGAATGTTGCCATGTACCCAGGGTAGTTGTTGCGTTATAGATGAAGACAACAGTCTGAACAATGTAAATAGTGTAAATAGTTACAATACATCATCTCAGAAATACACACGTATAGAATGAGAACAGCTTTGAAGTTTTTTTTTTGTATTGCATGTGAATGTTTTTTCTCGAACACTATAAACATAAAATCTTCAAATGAAGCGACAATCGTTGTCTCCTTATCCTCATAGCCTTCACTGTCTACCATGTGTCCTTGTATTCATATGACACGCCCCATTCATCCATTTTAACTGTAATTCTCTACATTGAGTGTCTCATGAGTTTTTTGTGTAAATCACTTTGAACGTTTCTTTTACACTCATCCAAGAGATACATTTTACATAAAAGGGGAAAATTTTAAGATATTTCTTTAAGTTCAAATTTCGCTTTTAGAGTAATTCTTATTTATTTATTTATTCAATTTTACTTGCTTTTTGAATCTTCTTCATATTTATGAATTGATTGCCATATTAAAAAAGATAAAATGGTTTCATCTATCGTCCGCTTCACTTTCCTTCCCGGTCTTTTGGACAAGAGGTTTATCGCTTATTTCCTGTTTAGGAGTGGGTTTTCGGTTAATTCTAAAGTCTTTCCATTCTCTTTCACCCCCAGTAGTTATTTGTGTCTTAGTGTCATTATCGCCTTGCTTGAGGTGAATTGATGAAAAATGTCATTAAAAATGTTTTGCTGATGTTGTGGAGTAGCTGAACACCCCCATAACACCCCCATTGGGGTCAATATACTAAAGATGGCTTGTCTCGGCCTCTTAATGATAATCAAATTAGATATCTTTTCACTGGGGAAAGCTTTCTTCTCATGATGTTAAACAACACAGCGTATATAGCCTGAAATTATTACTTTTATTGTTCTCATTAGGAAGATTTTATTAACTATTATGAAGGAACGAGAGGAAGTGAGAGATAATGACTTCTATTTTTTTTTTTTTTGACTCTCTTATTCCTAGCAGTTTCACGCCCGCGTGTTCATTAAGACGCAAAAATTATCACTGAGACAATTATGGAAGAAAATCCTTTTGTAAGGAAGTCCCTCGACTTTTCCCTAATTGATAATTCGTTAATTATATCCAATGATTAAATCGAATATAAAGACACCTAAACCCGATACATCGGCATTAATTAATGAAACCGTTTCTCTCATTTTCTTCCTTTTTTTCTGATCAATCGTTGAATTGAGTATAGCATTAATATGACAATAGAGTTTTATTGTGATACCCGGGATAAATGTTTTAACTCCTTCCCATTTATTTGTTTATTTGTCATCGGGAGAGAGTTTCGCATGTTGTTAAATTATCTGGACTCCAGGCTATCATATATATATATATATATATATATATATATATATATATATATATCCGATGCAATGAGAACGAAAGTAATATATAAATTCTAACGTTCACAGCATTAATCCAAAAGAGGGCTCGATATCGATAGTAGAGCGATAATTATTTATTATAATTTTATCAAATAGACAAAAACAGTTTACTCACTACAAAGAAGCAACTTAGTTTCGGTTACCATTTTCTGTTTTCATCCGTCGAGGTGCAGTTGAAATGCACCGAAACTAAGTTGCTTAATTTGATTTCTTCGTTGATACACCGACTTTGCGAATTTAAGGGCAAGTATTACCTGGGACTCTTAATTTTACTGTTGAAATTGATAGCCGTAAGTGCAACCTAGCTAATAAGGACTAAAATGTGTAGTAATAGGACAAACACTACTTAGTGCTACAAAAGATAGGGAGTTGTGGAGAGCCATGATCAGCCGACAATGAAATTGTGTAAGTGGATAGCAGGAGAGGGACTAGCAGGAATGGTAAGGGCACAAACACTACTTAGAGATACAAATGATAGGAAGTTGTGGAGAGTAATGATCAACCTACTTAATGAGCTTGAGTAAATGGATGCCAGAACAAATACCATGATGGATAGCAAGAGGAAGAACATTACGATGCTGTGGAGAGCCATGATCAGCCGACTTAATAAGATTGTGTAAATGGATGTCAGAAGAGGGACTGGCAGAAATAGCAACGGGACAAACATTACTTACAGCTACAAAGGATAGGAAGTTGTGGAGAGCCATGAAAGCCGAGTTAATAAGATTGTGTAAATAGATGGCAGAAGAGGGACTGGAAGGAATAGTAAGGGGAAAAACACTATTTAGAACTAGAGTTGTGGAGAGCAATTATCAACCTACTTAATGAGCTTGTGTAAATGGATGTCAGAAAAGAAACCATGGTGGATAGCAAAAGGAAAAACATTACTTTGAGCAACAAACGATAGAATGTTGTGGAGAGCCATGATCAACCTACTTAATGAGCATATGCAAAAGGAAGTCAGAACAGGAAATAGAATGAATAACAAGAAGACAAACATTGATTTGTGCAACAAACGGTAGGACGTTGTAGTGAGACATTATCGCCTACGTCCTTATATCATGAACATAGCATGTTTTTATATATATATATATATATATATATATATATATATATATATATATATATATATATATATATAAATGATTTTAATGAATTTATTGGTGTGAATAAGTTGTACAATTGTATTTTTTCTCTCAACTTTATTTTGTTTTTTAACTTACGAAATGATAAAATATTTCATCTTACCTTCATTTGAAACGTTTTGTATTGCCAACCAAAAAACAAGAGCTGTTAGTAAGTATTTCATCTCTGTTCAGTTGATGTGATACTGGTGAAACTGTCAATAGATGTCGGTTTGTATGATATTGTTTGTTTGAGAAATAATGATTTTGACATTGTATACGTTGAATCAATCTTTAACGTGTGGTCTCGACGTGTTTTATGCACAAAAAATAATAAGAGAATACAAAAAAAAAATAATAAGAGAATACGAAAAAATACAATACGTAAGACAATTAGAAGACAATAAGGAAAGAAGAATCAACTGGAAAAGGAAAGAGCAGAAAAGAGGACAGTGAAAAGGAAAGACAGAATAATAATAATAATAATAATAATAATAATAATAATAATAATGAGGAAGAGGAGAAGGAGGAGGAGGGGAAGGAGTAGAAGAAGACTAGATGAAGATTAGAGAGACGTATACAGGAGTGAAAATTGAAAAGACAGCAACATATTCTTTATAAAGGCTCTATTTTATATCTTCTTCTATGTGCCGCGTCACTTTAGGACGTTGGCGATCATAGCTCTTCCCAATCTCCTATACTTTGTCGCTCTTAATAAATTTCGTCTTTTTGTTATCTCTCTTAAACCTTGTTCCGCTATCCATTTACTCAAGCTCCTCCTCCTCTTCCTCCTCCTCCTCCTTCTTCTTCTTCTTCTTCTTCTTCTTCTTCTTCTTCTTCTTCTTCTTCTTCTTCTTCTATGTGCCGTGTCTCTTCAGGATGATTTTTTCGCTTTTCTCTGTCCCTCTTGCTTTCAATTTGTCCTGTGATCATAAAATTTGTCAACTCTACTTTGCTCACTATGTGACCGAGAAATTTCAACTGTTTCTTCCTCGTGTTAATATCTTTTTTTCTTTCTTTAGAACTTCATCAATGCTTTTCAGCATTCAGATGAAATCTCCTGACTCTTTTATAAATGCCATTAATTACGATTGGTGTGAAATCCGAAAGAGCATAAAATAATAATAGCAACTCTTTAATGTACCGTGACCAATCAGAACATGGGTGATTATAGCTCTCCACAACTTCCTTTATATTTATATCTTACCTTCTGTTTACATAAGCTTATTTCGCTATTTCCCTATTTTCCTTTTGCCTTCATTATGTCGTATGAGTGTCAATTTCTCCAAACACTCTTTCCTCATTATATGTCCAAAATATTTTAACTTTTTCTATGTAAATTTTTGTTATCCATTTTCCTTAAAACTTCTTTCCTACTCACAGGTCCTGTCCATGGTATCCTCAGTATCCTTCTGTAGAACTACATATCGGTTGGAGATTGTCCGGCATTCCCTGCCATATAGTAAGAGCCTTATTACAAGTAGTGAGGGGCACCTCGAGGCGGTTTAATGGTTAGCAAGCTTGTCTCGCGAGAACAATTACGACTGAATATTGAGTTCGATCTACACTGGGTGTCCCATACTTTCGGCCTTGTGCAACATTTAAGCTACGCTTAGAAAATCAATATTACGACTACTGAATAAAAACAAGGAATCATTTGCGAAAAACGAACGCAGTTGAGAATAGAGAACAGTAACAAGTGTGAGGAGGCAGAGAAAGAGAAATTCTCAACGAAAGAGACGTAAAGAAACAAGACGATAAAGGAATGAAATAAAAAAAAATAAGAGAAAAGAAGTGGAAACAGGAACTGAAGGAAAAAGAAGAAAAAGAAGTAGAAGAGGAGGAGAGAAAGAAAGAACAAAGGGTGAAAATAGCAATTTATTTTATATACGGGATTTTGATCGTTTATCCATAGCTACAGATTTCATCACCCAACAGAGAAATAACTCGTTCCTTAACCCTAGAACACTAACCATGGGTATATAGTACCCACCGCAAATTTTCTTATTTTTAATTACAGTTTTCACTACCTGATTTTCTTACCTAAATAATGTATTTTTCAGTTCATATTAATGTTAACTCAAAGTACAAAGTGCCTGCATGTAAAATATTTCAAATAAAGATTTATATTTTTTTTTTTTTTTTTTTTTTTTTTTTTGATATTTTCAAAATCGGGTATGATATACCCATGATTAGTAGTGGTGTAACTTTAATTTATGGTTAGTGTTCAAGGATTAAAGATACCATAATAGGTGATGAAAATGGGTTGCATACAACAATACCCAACGTAAAACGTAGTAAATAAACAAGGATAAATCCCTACAACCGGACCCAAAAGTTGTGTGAGTTCCATGGATGGAAGTTAAAGTTGTTCCTGTATTTGGATCGCTACGACATTTATTCGGGTTCGCTATGTAGGTTATGCGCTGTTTATCTGTTTCTCTTGCCTTCAATCTGTCCTGTGAGTATCAAAATTTCCAAGTCTTCTTTCCTCATTATGTGCCCTACAAGTTTTAACTGCCTCATCCTGATATTAAGTATAAGTGTCCTTTTTGTTTCCATTTTCTCTAATATTTCGTCAGTGTTCGCTTCATGTTATTCTCATCATCCTTCTGTAGAACCATATTTCTGTTACTTAGTCTCTTCTTCAGGAGATTGTCCGCACAGATAAATAATAATAGAGCAATGAAGTAGTAAATGTACAATTATAAATTGAGCAGCTTCAACGTGTCCATAAAATTTGGTGTAAAAGCAAAACTGCTTTCGTCAATAGGAAAAATGTTATTATCCTCTATTCTATCTTAAGGTCGCATACATGCTGAATAACACAAGAAAAACATTTGGAACACGGTTGGTCTGTTTTACCCTACCCGTCATATTCACCTGAACTTGCCCCAATCAATTATTACCATTTTTGGTTGCTGCAAAACATTTTATGGGGTAAACTTTCTCTAATAAAATCCAGGTTTAAAAGTTCGTCGAAAGTTTTCTTTTTTTATTTCGTATCAAAACCTGCAACATTAAAATGATATGGAAGGCCTACTTGATAAGTGACAACAAGTGGCATTATTACAAATCATGCTACATATATATATATATATATATATATATATATATATATCATACTTATTATAAAACCCAGGTTGTGTGTGTGTGTCTGTACGTTTATATATTGGATCGGATTTCCTACATTTTTCAACCGATTTCAACAAAACTTCACAAGACTACGTAAAATCACCTTGCGGTGGTTGTGACAGCGCCAAAAATTGGAAAAACACAATTGTTTTTGCACAAAATCAATTTGAAAACACGATTAAAAGGCATCGCGAGATTGAAAGGGGGATAACTCATATCGAATTATGCTTATTATAAAACCCAGGTTGTGTGTGTGTGTGTGTGTGTGTGTGTGTGTGTGTGTGTGTGTGTGTGTGTGTGTTCGTTTATATATGGGATCGGATTTCTTACATTTTTCAACCGATTTCAACAAAACTTCACTTTTTTTTTTGGCAGGTAGTGTTTCTTATTGTCTTGCACACTTTTTTCTTTATTTTTACATTCAGAATGCTTTAAAAATTTCATTTACCAGACAATTGTTTATAATAAAATTCTATTCAATCGGTAGACTCATAACGATTGAAAACAATGTTTTTCTTTGAGTTTGGGTTTGACCAATTCGTAAAAAAAAAAAAAAAAAAAAAACTAATTAAGACATGCGTGTCTGTCAACCTTAAACAATAATCTTTGTCAATTTTATTTTTCAGTCTTTATGATGGTCGATACTTGATCTATCTCTTACTGTTACATCCCCGGGCAACGCCGGGCTCTACTGCTAGTATATATATATATATATAACTGATAGAAATTAGGAGGATTTGAGATGATCATAATTAAGTAATTCATCGAGTCTGATAGAAACCTCAACAGAATGCAGAAAGCACTGGACGGCCGTTTCGCCCTATATTTGGGACTCATCAGCAGTGCGTATCCACTACCGAGAATTGAAACCCGGTCAGTTACGTTATCAGGCAAACGTTATACCAACTGTAGAAACGGGCCTCAGTGACGAAAAGGTAGCGAATTAGACTCGATATAGCGCAGATTGATCACATATTCTATGGTGGAACTCATCCGAGTTTCTCCTTACCCATAGGACTGTGCGCTCTACGAGCCACGACTACTATCACCAAGCCGCTCCATCCAGAGCATTAGAATCAGGCGCAAGCAAGGATATACAAGTGATAGAAATTATTAGGAGGATTTGAGATAATTATAATTAAGTAATTCATCGAGTCTAGAAGAAACCTGAACAGAATTCAGAGAGCACTGGTCGGTCGTTTCATCTTATCTTTGGGAATCATCATCAGTGCACATCCGTGGTAGAACTCATCCGAGTTTCCCTTACCCTCACGAGCCACGACTACTAGTGTAAGAAGTGCGAAAAACGAAACTCTTAGCAGAGAATCAACAGTTGGAATTAATTAGTTCAACAGTAAAACGGTGAGACCTAGTCGCCAATCTAGTAGTACGCTTGAATTCATGCAGTCGAAGTAAGGAAAAAAGCCAGTCAGAGCAGTTGCCATGAAAGAGGGAAAACACGTCACGTCGTTGAGAAGGTGACTGAAATCGAGATGCTAGCTCAGGATCGATTACATTACAGATCCTTTTTGAATTTAGTAAAAAATCTCGAGATATACAGCGGGTGCACCAGACTAGATATGGCAACAACGTTCAACACACGAAAGAATTGTAGATTTATACATGTGCAAGATGGATTCTGACGAGAAAGATTTTCTGGCACGACACAATGAACCAACTTTCCTATCAGTAGATGTAGCAATTGATTCGATATCGTTGCTGCACTTCATGTCAGTGGAAGACGTGAGCTCAAGAAGTAGATGAAATGTAATTGCACTTTATACTTTGAAGAAGTGTTGATTAACAAAAACGGAAATTATTTACCACTCAAATTAATATACGCTTATTACGATCCCTGCAACTTAAAAGTTGTTTATATCTCTTTCTATAAAAGGCAGGATGTGTGTGTAACACACACACAGTTCGACTGCATGAATTGTTATGAATGTATGGCCGCAATTTTCGACGGATTTGCACCAAAATTTACATGGACATGCTCCGAGTTAGCGGGAAGGCCAAGACGGACTTTGCATTTCTCAAATCCCATCGA